AGACCCCCAAAATTACTATTTCTTTCAGTGTCCACTTTAAAAAAAAAAAATTCTTCTAAAATGGCAGAGAATCTTGTTTCTGAAGGCGATGCTAAAAGTATAAACTTTGATGGAAAACTTACAGAATTATGCAGGTGCAAAGTTATCAGTCTCAATTCAATTTATATATGAGCAATTTGGCCCACTTTGAGTCCTATTTTATGCTAATTCCTTTGCTCCATCAACCAGATTTTTAGCTACTATTTCTCTATGCCTTCTGTTCTATTGATTGAGCACAAGAAATCAGCCATTCAACTATTACAAATATCCTATAAAGTGCACAGATGTTTGTAACTTGGCCGATTTTACACAAAAAATTTAAAAATGCCAGTGTAAAAATCCAGTCCATAATAAACATTGTAGACATTCCTAGTACTAAAACAGTATTTCCCCTGTTCATTAATCATGTCCCCAGGCCTTCCATCCTGAATTCATAGTCACATAATTCATAGTCATCACAGTTCACAGTAACTGTGTCATGAACTCCAGTCATCACAGTAACTGTGTCCCTGTGACTTTCCCGTCATCACAGTAACTGTTTGTAATACTCCAAAATCATACATTTAACCCCTTCATGTGACTTCATTCACACATAACTTGGGCATTGGACTCCAGTCATCACAGAACTTGTCATGTGACTCAGCATCACCTGTGTCATGTGACTTCCAGCATCATAAATGTGCATGGACCCATCATCAAAGTAACTAATCACGTGACCATCACACATAACTGTGGTCTTACTCCCCTTGCACAGTTCACAGTAACTATCACATACTCCAGTCATCACAATAACTGTGTCATGTGACTCCAGTCATCACAGTTCACAGTAACTGTGTCATGTGACTCCATCACATTTCACAGTACCTGTGTCATGTGACTCCAGTTGTCACAGTTCACATTAACTGTGTCACGTGACTCCAGTCATCACAGTAACTGTGTCATGTGACTCCAGTCATACAGGTACACGTTTAAATCACTAAGAGTGTCTGATTAATCTTGAAAACGCCATATTAATGATGATGATAAACGCAAAAATAATCACTCTGAGGCGCATTGAATGTTGTATGGTACATTAATATAAACATTTTCATTTATCTTTGATATTTTTTCAAAATTATATAATAAACATGCGACATAACATATAAACATGATAAATACACCCCACAGTAGAACAGATTAACATAAATATGAGATTTTTTTCAGTCGCCTTGTCAGAGTGTCAGAAAGAATAACATTTTCTCTAGTTCAGTACCAAAAAAAATGTGTACACAAAAGTATTACTGGGGTAACTGGAGAAAATTATTCCTTTTGTATACCTTCACTCAGAGATTCATTCCTTCTGAAAATGGTGTGTTAGATGAGAATGGGAGTGTTGCTCTTTATTTACTCTACTGTACTAATATGGAGACAACTTGTACACAACGTAAGGTGTTTGTATTATGGTATAAGCTTCACAAACATGGAAATAGTTCACTCTGACTTCTTTGGGTTATCCTAGGTAATCTACACATATGCTGATATGCTGCTATGTATGATAATCTATGTAACTGTTATCCTGTTATCCTGACGCCAAATGACTTCGAACAGGCGATAAATGACATGCCCATGCACTCTGCCCCAGGGCCAGACTCATGGAACTCCGTGTTCATCAAGAACTGCAAGAAGCCCCTAGCATGAGCCTTTTCCATCCTATGGAGAGGGAGCATGGACACGGGGGTCATCCCACAGTTACTAAAAACAACAGACATAGCCCCACTCCACAAAGGGGGCAGTAAAGCAACAGCAAAGAACTACAGACCGATAGCACTAACATCCCATATCATAAAAATCTTTGAAAGGGTCCTAAGAAGCAAGATCACCACCCATCTAGAAACCCATCAGTTACACAACCCAGGGCAACATGGGTTTAGAACAGGTCGCTCCTGTCTGTCTCAACTATTAGATCACTACGACAAGGTCCTAAATGCACTAGAAGACAAAAAGAATGCAGATGTAATATATACAGACTTTGCAAAAGCCTTCGACAAGTGTGACCATGGCGAAATAGCGCACAAAATGCGTGCTAAAGGAATAACAGGAAAAGTCGGTCGATGGATCTATAATTTCCTCACTAACAGAACACAGAGAGTAGTCGTCAACAGAGTAAAGTCCGAGGCAGCTACAGTGAAAAGCTCTGTTCCACAAGGCACAGTACTCGCTCCCATCTTGTTCCTCATCCTCATATCCGACATAGACAAGGATGTCAGCCACAGCACCGTGTCTTCCTTTGCAGATGACACCCGAATCTGCATGACAGTGTCTTCCATTGCACACACTGCAAGGCTCCAGGTGGACATCAACCAAATCTTTCAGTGGGCTGCAGAAAACAATATGAAGTTCAACGATGAGAAATTTCAATTACTCAGATATGGTAAACACGAGGAAATTAAATCTTCATCAGAGTACAAAACAAATTCTGGCCACAAAATAGAGCGAAACACCAACGTCAAAGACCTGGGAGTGATCATGTCGGAGGATCTCACCTTCAAGGACCATAACATTGTATCAATCGCATCTGCTAGAAAAATGACAGGAGGATAATGAGAACCTTCAAAACTAGGGAGGCCAAGCCCATGATGACACTCTTCAGGTCACTTGTTCTATCTAGGCTGGAATATTGCTGCACACTAACAGCACCTTTCAAGGCAGGTGAAATTGCTGACCTAGAAAATGTAGAGAGAACCTTCACGGCGCGCATAATGGAGATAAAACACCTCAATTACTGGGAGCGCTTGAGGTTCCTAAACCTGTATTCCCTGGAACGCAGGCGGGAGAGATACATGATTATATACACCTGGAAAATCCTAGAGGGACTAGTACCGAACTTGCACACGAAAATCACTCACTACAAAAGCAAAAGACTTGGCAGACGATGCAACATCCCCCCAATGAAAAGCAGGGGTGTCACTAGCACGTTAAGAGACCATACAATAAGTGTCAGGGGCCCGAGACTGTTCAACTGCCTCCCAGCATACATAAGGGGGATTACCAACAGACCCCTGGCAGTCTTCAAGCTGGCACTGGACAAGCACCTAAAGTCGGTTCCTGACCAGCCGGGCTGTGGCTCGTACGTTGGTTTGCGTGCAGCCAGCAGCAACAGCCTGGTTGATCAGGCTCTGATCCACCAGGAGGCCTGGTCACAGACCGGGCCACGGGGGCGTTGACCCCCGAACTCTCTCCAGGTAAACTCCAGGTTATGTGTACCTGTTCCTGAATGAAAATTCACTTACAAACATGGAAATGAAAGTGTATGAACCATAACTAGACGCGTTTGTTTACATTGCGTCTCTGTCTTCTCTCATTTACTCGTTCTATCTCTCATTTATTCGTTTTATCTTGTTTACTTCTCACCCTACATTAAGACCACAGATATATTAAGGTAAGTAATGAGTGTACAGTATATGCATTTTATTGCTCTAGGACGCTTTAAGTGTATATTACATGTGGGTGGGGTGGCCATACCTATCACACCTGACCTCTTAAAATAAATACAACTCACCTCTCACCCCACATTAAAACTACAAATATTTTAAGGTAAATAATGAGTGTACTGTATATGCATTCTATCACTCTAGGGTGCTTTAAATGTACATAACATGTGGGTAGGGTGGCCATACCTTCCGCACCTGCCCTCTTACAATAAATACGACTCAACTCTCACCCTACATTAAGACTACAAATATTTTAAGGTAAGTAATGAATGTACTGTGTATGTATTTTACTTTTTATTTTTTTAATGCCTAATTCTATTGTTAACTTAATATATGTTATTGTAAACTTGTTATCTGGTAGTTATATCATTTATAAGTGGAAAAAATGGCATTCTGCTCTCCAGTGATGTCTGCTTTCTGGCGGTAGCCTGGAACCTAACATGCTGTATAAGTGGAAACCTAGTGTATCATGTAAAACAATTACAATACAGGTTTCCATTTCACACTCACTTTTCAGGATGGTAGTACCTCTCTGGGTGGTTGCTGTCTACCACCCTACTACCTAGGAGCATATATTTATAATCAGTAAATTTTTTTGTAGAGTGTATAATGGTCCCTTGAGTTAAGTTATTATCTTGTTCCAGAAGACACATTGTATCTCCAAAATATTGTAACTTATACCCCAAAACACGTACATAGTTTTACAGTAATTCATTTCCAGATGCCAGTACACACCCAACCTTCCCTTGAATTCTTTTTCTTGTTTAAAAACATTGGTATTTTCTGTGACAAACAAGCATAGGTTGTAGGTTGAAATATCCAGAGGCATTGGTACCCAGCAGCAGAATAAACCTATATTTTCATAGGCTTATGCCCAGACAAAGTAGCAGGATAGAGCAGGGTAGGTAGAACAGGGCAGAGGAGGCAGACAGGCAGAGTGGGGAGGTAGGCAGGGTGGGGAAGTAGGCAGGGTGGCGAGGGAGGAAGGCAGGCAGGCAGGCCAGCAGGGTGGGGAGGCAAGCAGGCAGGGTGGTGAGGGCTGAGGGAGGGAGGCAGGCAGGCAGGTTGGAGGAGAAGGCAGGCAGAGTGGTAAGGAAGGGAGGATGGCAGGGAGGCAAGGTGGGGAGGCAGGCAGGCAGGGTGGGAAGGGAGGGAAGAAGGTAGACAGACAGACAGACAGGTTTGTAAAGGATTGTTGACTTAATATTAACACTTGCTGTCACTGTCTTCCATTATCTGCATCTGATATATATATGGTCTCCCTCCCTCCCTCCCTCCCTTCGACACACCTCCAACACACCCTCCACCATCACTCCATTTAAATCATTTTCGTCACCCTGTCTTGTCTCTGGTCTGAGGCCCATCCAAACTTGCCAGACCATCGTATACGTATTGTCTCTCAAATTTTTATTTGCAACTCAAAACCAAATTGTTTTATGATGGTAAATCATAACTCAGAATTATTGTAACTCAAGGACCACTGTATTTCTGATTTCATTTACTTTCCCCAAGGTACAAATTTGTGGTGAAAATGTGGCATCCAGCATGTCCATTGTTTTTAAGGCAATGGGCTATTGCCCTCAGCATGATGCACTTTGGAAGAACACAACAGTTGCTGAGCATATTGAGTGTTATGCAGAGGTGCGAGGAATTCAGAAAGACCAAGTGAAACTGTAAGATATTACATACTCTTGTTTTTGTGTAAATTTTAACAAATATTTGTTTTAGTTCAAATATCTTCACAACATATCCTTATTGAAAGGAATGTAACAGTACATACTGTAATAGGTTTAGGCTCTTAGACTAAAGTCTGAATATCCAATGATAATAATATACAGCAACATGAAAGTGTTAAAATATATACAGTGGACCCCCGGTTAACGATATTTTTTCATTCCAGAAGTATGTTTAGGTGCCAGTACTGACCGAATTTGTTCCCATAAGGAATATTGTGAAGTAGATTAGTCCATTTCAGACCCCCAAACATACACGTACAAACGCATTTACATAAATACACTTACATAATTGGTCGCATTGGGAGGTGATCATTAAGCGGGGGTCCACTGTATATGGTTAGTGCCCGCTTATCCTCATCTTGACCTTAGTGTATTTATGTAGTGTCCAAGCATGCTTTATTTTAGGCTATAAATTCCCTTTAGCTCATCTAAATAATTTACAGTATGCTGTTTAGACTGCCCACTTTCTTTGATAAGGCAGAATAATAATCACTAGCACACAAACTTTTTATCCAGTTTAGAAACCAAGTTAGTTGTGTTAAGCTAACTTTGATGTACTGATCATTAATCTGAGTTTGTTTAGTCTATCACCATGTGGAAAATTGGTAGGCCATGAACATCTGAGTCTGTCTCTTAATTTCTGGAACATCTGCATATCCAATGACCAACCAAAATAATTTTTTTGTGTTTACGAAATATACAATATTATCACACAATAATGGGATGAGGGGAGTATAAATTTTTTGATAGTTTAAAAAGGACTTTAAGAATCAGAAACAACAAATGACAAGGCAGACATAGTAGCAGTGTGTGAGAATTGAATATAACTGGTGTGAAAATATTGGTCAACTCTCAGTAAATAACCTTGAATTATTCTCTGTGAAAAAACAGCCATATATCCTATACTGTCAAGCGATTTAGAACAGTCAGTGTATGTGGAGATGACAGATCACCCAGGCTGTGATGGATATGTAGGTCAGCGGGCCACCAGCAGCAGCAGTCTTGTTGACCAGGCATGCACCAGACAAGCCTGGCCCAATGACAGGCTCTGGGAGTAGAAAAACTCAGAACTCACCAAAGGTATATGGCTCTAGCATGAAAATGAAAATGTAGTGACTCTCATTGCTGAGGTCCAGGTAATAAACCCTGGGCATTAACATAAAAAAAAAAAAATTGAGCACCTCTGCAAAAACAGTGATTATGTATGAGTGAGATGAAAGTGTTGAATGATGATGAAAGTATTTTCTTTTTGGGGATTTTCTTTCTTTTTTGGGTCACCCTGCCTCGGTGGGAGACGGCCGACTTGTTGAAAAAAAAAAAATTATGAAGAAAGTCACAGGCATGCCTAGACATTTTGGGCATGAGAATGTTATTGAAATTTTTGAACCTTTATTTGTCAAAGGCTTCTAAATGAAGTGCTTCTTCTCTTGTCACAATTTTTTGATAAAAAAAATAATCTGATCTTTTAAAATGGTAGAGAATATTTTTCTAAAATTAATCATGATAGAACTAAAAAAATTAATGCAATGCTTATGCCATTACACAGAAACAAAGTTGAAGGCAATAGAGCACTTTTGCAACAGTAATTTCTCCCACTTTGAGACCTATCATTTAACCCTTAGACCTATTCAATTAACCCTTTCATTGTCGAGACTCTTGCTTGCAAACTTGTTCTCAGTGTTGAAGAATTTTCAAAAAAAAAAAAAATTTTCTTACCAAAATCTTACAAACAATTGTGTAAGTCTTATAAAACAAATAAAAAATTGTGATCAGTACTTAACGAGGTATAGAGGCGTGAAGTTGACAGAAAGTGAACTGCTGTTGGCAACATCGGCGACTGCCACTCACTTGGTAATATTATTTTTACTTGCATTCTATTTTTTCCTTTTCTAATATTTTATTTTTTCAAGTAACTTTTGTGGCCTGTGAGACCAATATAATACATAATGTATATACAGTGGGACCTTGACTTACGAGTTTAATCCGTTCCATGACCTAGCTCGTAACTCAGTTTGCTCGTATATCAAATCAATTTTCCTCATTTAAATTAATTGAAATGCCATTAATCCGTCCCAGCGGCAGGGCAGAATATTTCAATATAACAACTCTACGGCTTATTTCTCTATCACAATTTATCTAATATGACATGATAAACAATATAATTAACAGAGAAACATGATATACAGGTCTCCCTCCACATTCGTGAGGGTTAGGGGATCAAGAACCTCGCGAATGTTTGGTGCACAAATATATTGTAGGGAAATATAATAATAGAATTTACTTAGCTTATCAATATTGCTTCCTTAACCTGTTGAACCATGAACAATCATAAAACACATGAAAACATTGTAAAATATTGTACTAGTGCCAGCCATTTTGTAAAGGTGAGAAAAACTATAAAATTCAAGAAAGAAATCGTAGCAGAGTACCAAAGCGGAGGAGGAAGAGAGAGGAGAGAATATACCTCCTTCAGTGATTCTATGATATGTACGATGCTAAAGCAGCATGAGTCGCTAAAGGCTATAGCGCCAGCCAGTGATAAAGTGTAGCATTAACAGTGTAGCAAGTAAGTTAAGTGATTAATCGATAGAAAAAGGACAGCACGAACCTTACTCCTCCAATATTGTTGGAGTTATATAGGACGACTGACAACACTACCATCTCTAGTGTCTACCGCTTCTGCTGCCGCCTCCACCACCAATATGTACGGCTTATATTCTCAGTGGCCCTTATACACCCAACAACAACAACACAGCAACACTCGTGACATACTTAATGATGTATTTTATTCATTCTAGAGTATATGTCGTGTTTCTATATTGTTAATATTGTTTGTTATGTCTTATTAGATGAATTGTGATAGATAAAAAAGTCGTAGAGTTGATATCAGTGTCATATTGAAGGACTATCTTGTCCTGTTTCCAAACAAATTTTTCCCCTCCCACAAACCAAACCAAGTTGTTAATTTTACGAAGTGTATAAAATTATGCCACAATTTTTCACTGGTGTGATAACCATAACGTGCCAAATAAATCCGTGTAATATGAAGGTCTACTGTATTTTAATTTTTTACTTGTTGAGCTTGTTACTTGATCATAGCTTGCAGGTTCTGACGCGTCTTGGTCGAGTTGTATTCGTACTGAAATTATTTATGCAGCTCAACATAGCATTGATTTAGTACTTATTTTTTACACAGTTACAAGCTAGAGTATGTTAACTCAAGCTTCAAATTCCCTCAGATGGTTTATTTTATGCTAAAGTGCTAGTTTACTCTTGTTGTTAAGCATCAAACATTAAAGTGTATGTAAATTTACAGCCTAATCAATACATACCTAAAAGGCCTGGAAATAGAGGAACATAGAAAGAAAAAGAGCAAAAATTGCTCAGGAGGCACAAAACGCAAGTTGAGCTATATCATCAGCATGATAGGTAAGTTCTAAACTCGCTTGTTTCTTCCCAAAGTTTCATTTACTTAAAGAGACAATAATTTCCTTTTGATATATAAAAATCTAATTAGCTGATTAGATTGAACTAGCTCATGTTCAAATGATCATATTTCTGGGCAACTTATCTAGTCTTTACTCTCTTTAAAAACAACTTGGTTTGTTGAAGAGCTAATTTCTCTGGGTTCTTACTGAAACCCAAAACTGACACAAATATACTGAAACAGACTTAATTACCTGCAGTAGAATTCATAATGCCTTCAGTAATTAAGAAGTTACTGCTGTCTCTCAAAGGCCATTAATTAAAGATAAAGATAATTTATTTCAGCATGATACAATGTTTGTACTAAGGTGAATTACATTTAGGTATGCATGCCAAAAGCCCCTTAATATGTAGAGCATTTTGGGCAGACTTAAGACTAACTGGTGGCCTGGTGGCTAAAGCTCTCGCTTCACACAGCGAGGGTCTGGGTTCGATCCCCAGCCAGGGTAGAAACATTGGGCGTGTTTCTTTACACCTGTTGTCTATGTTCACCTATCAGTAAAATGGGTGCCTGGGTGTTAGTCGACTGGTGTGGGTCGCATCCTGGAACACTGACCTAATTTGCCCAAAATGCTCAGCATAACAAGCGGCTTTCTATATACATGTAGTTGTATGTCATTGATGTCAGCTAGGCCTGTATACCTTGTACATGTACCTGTAGTAAATAAAGATACTATATTAAAAGATTAATAAGGCAATGACAAATGGTTTTAAACAAACAAAGTTTATTTCTTTGCAAGGTTACATTGAGATTATGAAATTACAATAATGAGTTGCAGTGCAAAGAGAGCCACTATCATGCCTAGGCATTATGGGCAGACTTAATTTAATGGCTTACATACTACTTAACCCTTAAATGGTCCAAATGTACATATACGTTTTTTCAACATCTGAAAGTATGTAAAAAAATGTAGATCTTCTTTTTTGTTTTACATTTGAAAACGTGTAAAAAAAACTTTTATCTACATTTTTTTTTGTTATATTTGAAAATATGCAAAAAAAAAGGAGATCTGTTAGGTAAGACACATATGCAACAGTTAGGTATCTTTAGGTATCGAAATAAAGATACCTAACTGTTGCATATGTGTCTTACCTAACAATCTGTCGGTATTTTATACCATTTTAATGTTCAAAAAGGAGATTACTTTTGTAGCACTACGAATTTGAATGTTGATCTGTTTGGACCGTTTAAGGGTTAATACTAAAGAAATTGATCATAGTTTGTTTAAGTTATACATCTCCTTTGTTTATAGCAGACAGTAGTTTTACTTTAATTACAGTAGTTTCAATAATGAATATAGAAATTAAATTATGGGAATATAACATTGTGAGTTGTTGAAAGTAGTTTACAGTATGAGGATGCTACAATTGGGTGTAAGACAGTATTGTTTTGGGTAGGTATTTATACTACAAAGTAGGATTAATAATGTATGAACTTTGGGCATCTGGATTTGAAGTTCAAGATATGGATAATTTTTTGGTAAAGTTAAATATTGAGTATTGAGCATTTAGTTTAGGGTGAGTAGGTGGTTTTTGAGAAGAGCCTTAAACTGGTGTTCAGACCTAGTTACTTAAATATTTACTGGTAATGGGTTTCAAATTTTGGGGCCCTTTATGTGTATAGAGTTTTTACACAGTGAGATATAGACACGGGGTCCATCAAAAAGAGATCTGTGTCTTGTGTTGTGGTCGTGTGTCCTGTTAAGGTTGGTGAGGAGAAGTTTGAGTGGTGGGTTTATGTTTGAGTGTAGTGTTCTATGTATGTAGTAGGCACATGAATAAGTATGGATGTTCTTAACTATGAGCAGTTTTAGACTTCTGAATATTGGTGGAGTATGCTGTCAGGAGTGGGAATTTGTTATCATTCTGATTGCAGCCTTTTGCTGGGTTATTAGTGGCCTTAGGTGATTTAATGTTGTTGATCCCCATGCACAAATTCCATATCTTAGATAAGGGTAGATGAGTGAACTTACAGTGCAAGGAGATCTGATTGTGGAACATAGTACCATATCTTTGATAGTATGCCCACTTAGAAATTTGTTGTATGTGTGTCTGGAATTTGAGACTGATTTGTCAGACCCAGCTGTCAAGAATTTGCATGTCCAGGTTCTACCTAAATAGAGCATATTTTGTGAAGTGTAGATGCTTGGAGTTTTAACTACATCATTAGCTACACACTCACTACATAAGCAAATCAATAATTTTATTGTATAATTTGCTGCAAATTATGGTGGCTTTAGAAGGAAAAAAAATTCTCTCGGCTAACAAGAACTACACCATATACGTACTACAGTTTTAATGTTCATACAAAGTCTGACATTGTTCACTAAATAAAAATAAATGTGCAAGGTATAAGTGTAATTCAGTGATCAGCTTAATCCTGATGGCATTCTCAGCACTGCTCAGGAGCAAGATGGTCTGAAGATAATATTAATCATAAGAGCATTGAGAAAACCCAGTTTCTAATTGCATATTATGGTTTTAATTTTTAGGTCATCCTAAAGTCGTACTCCTGGATGAGCCTTCAACAGGATTAGACCCCAAGTCCAAACGTTTTTTGTGGAATTCAATTCTTGCATCTTTTAAGGTTGGTATAGTATATACTAAATTTTGTAACATCAGTTTTTCAAGAGAGTTATAGTTTTGACATGACTTGCAGTTTTCTTAAAATATTTATAAGAGGTTTTCCATGGGAAAGTGGAACAGAATTCTTCCTCCGTAAGCCATGCGTGTTGTAAGAGGCGACTAAAATGCCAGGAGAAAGGGCCTAGTAACCCCTTCTCCTGTATAAATTACTAAATTTAAAAAGAGAAACTTTCATTTTTCTTTTTGGGCCACCCTGCCTTGGTGGGATACAGCTGGTTTGTTAAAAAAAAAAATTATAAGGGTGAAGAGAGTGGTGAGAGAGTGCAAAAGGAGAGCAGATAATAGAGTGGGAGAGGCACTGTCAAGAAATTTTAATGAAAATAAGAAAAAAATTTGGAGCGACTTAAACAAGTTAAGAAAGCCTAGGGAACAAATGGATTTGTCAGTTAAAAACAGAGTAGGGGAGCTAGTGGATGGGGAAATGGAGGTATTGGGTAGATGGCGAGAATATTTTGAGGAACTTTTAACCCTTTGACTGTCGCGGTCGTATATGTACGTCATAGGAGATACCGTGTTTGACGTATCTATACGCATAAATTCTAGTGGCTTCAAATCAAGCAGGAGAAAGCTGGTAGGCCCACATGTGAGAGAATGGGTCTCCATGGTCAGTGTGCACCATATAAAAAAAATCGGGGAGCCAGTGGTGCATTGTGGGAATACCATTTCAGTCGTCCTTTTTCAGCATGTCTAGTGGTAAGAAATATGTGACTTCCCTGCAAATCTGGGACTCTTCTCTTCCCAAGTGATGCTCTAACACAGATGGAAGTGTCAATGAAGATCAGTTTCATGATTCCAGGAGTTTGAGACCAAAACAATGGAGGAGGAGGAGGAGGAGGAGGAGGAAAGAGGAGGAGGAAGAAGAGGAGGAGGAAGAAGAGGAGGAGGAAGAAGAGGAGGAGGAAGGAAGGAGGAGGAGGAAGGAAGGAGGAAGAGGAAGGAAGGAGGGAGGAGGAGGAAGGAGGGAGGAGGAGGAAGGAGGGAGGAGGAAGAAGGAGGGAGGAGGAAGAAGGAGGGAGGAGAAAGAAGGAGGTGGGAGGGAGGAGGAGGAAGGAGGGAGGGAGGAAGAAGGAGGGAGGAGGAGGAAGAAGGGAGGGAGGAGGAGGAGAAGGGAGGGAGGAGGAGGAAGGTGGAAGGAGGAGAAGAAGAAGAAGAAGAAGAAGAAGAAGAAGAAGAAGAAGAAGAAGAATAAGAATAATAATAATACCTAATACCTAATAATAATAATATGTAATAATATGTTCCCTTGAGGCATGAAAACAGTTCACCCCATGACAGTGACAAGATAAGGGGAGATAACATCTGATAAGAGCTGACCTTTGATGAGCGTAAACGAGGGTGGAGGGAGGGGGGCAGCTGTCCATCTGTCAAGAGCCAGGAGGAGGAGGAGAAGGAGAAGAAGGAGGAGGAGGAGAAGGAGGAGAAGGAGGAGGAGGAGGAGGAGAAGGAGGAGGAGGAGGAGGAGAAGGAGGAGGAGGAGATGACGACGAACAAACATTTGTCTGTCTGTCTATTTGTCTGTCTGCCAAACTCCCTGTCTATCCGTCTAGCTCTGTCTCAGAGAGAGCCACAAGACTGTGTCATCATCATGTTTACTCACATCTTCAAGCAGAGTATAGCACTTTGTCTGGATTTTTGGGGTTATCCTAGGTAATTTACACTATGTATAGTTGTATTTATGTGTACCTGTGAGACAGAGATAGACAGAGAGAGAGAAAGAGAGACAGATTGAAAGAGATAGAATGAGGGAGAAAGATAATTAGATAGAATGGAGGGGGAAGCAGCATCCAACCCCATTGTTTTGACAGGCGGTAGGGGAGTGACTAATGAGACAATATGTCACTTTGACAGCTGCCGACTCCTGACTCAAAACAATTATAAGCCACACACTCGCACACAAGACAAGCTTGTGAAGGGTGATAATAGGAGTTTTAATGAAAGTATCTAGTGACTATATATGTGTATATATATTATAGAAACCAGAAGCAAGAAGGGAAGGCAGGAATGAAGGAAGGACTAGATGAAAGGAAGGAAAAAGTAATGAAGGACAGATGAAGGAATGTAGGAAGAGAGGTGGAATGCCCTCCAGGTAGCCCTCAGGTAGGAAAGGAATGAAGGAAGAATTAGGAAGGAATGATGACACACGACCATTTACCTAGGATAACTACATAACACAACTGCCTGCTAATACTTTGAAGAAAGCTGCTCAGACGAGGTGTTTTGTCTTTGCACATAAAAAAAAAAATTCAACAAAAATGCACACACACTGATTTTATGTGTGAGAGTGTAAAACACCATTGTGTATGACACCATGTTTTATGTGTGAGAGTGTAAAACACCACTGTGTATGACACCATGTTTTATGTGTGAGGAGTGTAGAACACCATTGTGTATGACACCATGTTTTATGTGTGAGAGTGTAAAACACCACTGTGTATGACACCATGTTTTATGTGTGAGAGTGTAAAACACCACTGTGTATGACACCATGTTTTATGTGTGAGAGTGTAAAACACCACTGTGTATGACACCATGTTTTATGTGTGAGAGTGTATGACACCATGTTTCACAGAGTTCCACAAGCTGCAGAACTTCTAGGAGTATGTTCAGTGACTGTATATTGGTATATATATTATAGAACAATAGTAATAAACAATTTTTTGTATTGTTTGTTTTTGTAAACAAGTTTTGTAGACAATATATTAATAATTATGTTTGTGTGCTTATTGTGTTGTATACAACGAGTGTATATGTGTACATTGCACCTTACTTTGGTCTCACAGGCCACATAAGTTATGTGAAAAAATAAAATAGTGAAAAAAACAACAAACCTTCAAATACAAGTAAACTAAAGTTTACCGGGTGAGCGGCAGTCGCCGCTGTTGCCATACGCGGCTCATTTTCTGCAAACTTCATGCCTCTATATCTCGGTAAGTACTGATGGGAAATTTTTTTTTTTGGGACTAAAACAATCAGAAAAATAATCTTAACATTTTCATAAGAAAGAATAATTTTTTTTTTTTCGAATATTTTGCGACACCAGGAGACACTTCAGGATTGGGCCCTTCGACAGTCAAAGGGTTAAATGTCGACGAAGAAAGGGAGGTGGTAATTTCATGCACTGGCCAGGGAGGTATACCATCTTGTAGGAGTGAAGAACAGCAGGATGTAAGTGTGGGGGAGGTACGTGAGGCATTACGTAGAATGAAAGGGGGTAAAGCAGCTGGAACTGACGGGATCATGACAGAAATGTTAAAAGCAGGGGGGGATATAGTGTTGGAGTGGTTGGTATTTTTGTTTAATAAATGAATGAAAGAGGGAAGGTACCTAGGGTTTGCAGAAGCATGTTAGCCCTTTTTATATAAAGGGAAGGGGGACAAAAAGGATTGTAAAAATTAGGAGGATAAGTTTCTGAGATACCAGGAAAAGGTAGGGTGGGGTTATTATTGAAAAATTAGAGGTAAGACAGAGTGTAGGTTGCAGATGAGAAAGGGAGGTTTTAGGTGGTGGGAAATGTGTGTCAAGTGTTTACTTGAAGCTATATGTGAACAGTTTTTGTAAAGGAGGGAAGTTTTTTTGCATTTTTGGTTTTAAAAAGGCATAGATAGAGTGCATAGGGAGCATTGGCAGATGTTAAAAGTAATAGGAATAATGGTAAGTTACAAAATGCGTAAAGGGGTTTTTATAGGGTGAGGCTCAGTAGGGTTTGTAGAAGAGGGGAGACTATTTCCCGGAAAAATAGGTTTTAGACGGGGATGGTATGTCACCATTGTTGTTTAATATATTTATGTGGGGTTTGTAAAAAATAAATGCTAGGGTGTTAGGGAGAGGGGTAGGATTAAATTATGGGGAATCAAATACAAAATGGGAATTGACAGTTACTTTTTGCTGATGATACTGTGCTTATGGGAGATTCTAAAGAAAAATTGCAAAGGTTAGTGGATGAGTTTGGGAGTGTGTGTAAAGGTAGAAAGTTGAAAGTGAACATAGAAAAGAGTAAGATGATTTAGATAAAGAAAAATTGGATATCAAATTGGGAAGGAGGAGTATGGAAGAAGTGAATGTTTTCAGATATTTGGGAGTTGATGTGTCAGTGGATGGATTTATGAGAGATGAGGTTAATCATAGAATTGATGAGGGAAAAATGGTGAGTGGTTCGTTGAGGTATATGTAGAGACAAAAAATGTTATCTATGGAGGCAGAGAAGGGAATGTATGAAAGTAAAGTAGTACCAACACTCTTATATGGTTGTGAAGTGTGGGTTGTAAATGCCACACCAAGGAGGCAGTTGGAGGCAGTGGAGATGTTCTGTCTAAGAGCAATGTGTGGTGTGAATATTATGCAGAAAATTCGGAGTGTGGAAATTAGGAGAAGGTGTGGAGTTAATAAAAGTATTAGTCAGAGGGCTGAAGAGGGGTTGTTGAGGTGGTTTGGTCATTTAGAGAGAATGGATCAAAGTAGAATGACTTGGAGAGCATATAAATCTGTAGGGGAAGGAAGGCAGGGTAGGGCTTGTCCTCGAAAAGGTTGGAGGGAGGGGGTAAAGGAGGTTTTGTGGGAGAGGGGCTTGGACTTCCAGCAAGCGTGCATGAGCGTGTTAGATAGGAGTGAATGGAACCGAATGGTATTTGGGACCTGACGAGCTGTTGGAGTGTGAGCAGAGTAATATTTAGTGGAGGGATTCAGGGAAACCGGTTATTTTTATATACCCAGAATTGAGTCCTGGAAATGGAAAGTACAATGCCTGCACTTTAAATGAGGGGTTTGGGATATTGGCAGTTTGGAGGGATATGTTGTGTATCTTTATACGTATATGCTTTTAAACTGTTGTATTCTGAGCACCTCTGCAAAAACAGTGATTATGTGTGAGTGAGGTGAAAGTGTTGAATGATGATGAAAGTATTTCCTTTTTGGGGATTTTCTTTCTTTTTTGGGTCACCCTGCCTCGGTGGGAGATGGCCGACTTGTTAAAAAAAAAAAAAAAAAAAAAAACTTGCCAATTGCATACTTCTCATTTATGGTTTTTTAATATTTAGTTAAGGGTTAAGGAGCTGAGTTTGCAGTGCTTAACCCTTTTGGTGTCAATCCCATTGTACTACAGCTTTGAAGCCAAGGTCAGTCCCACAATACAACACCATGAGCTAAGCTCACTCAGGTAAGCTGTGAGCAGTAAATTTGGTCCTAGATACAAGAGAATGGGTCTTTGTGGGAACTGTGCAATGTTTGTTATGTCAGTGGGCTCCTATCAGAAGCAAATGCCATGTTTGGAGCATTTACAGAAACACATACAAGGGATGTTTTGGACGGAGAGATAACATGTATAGATGTGATAGAATTAATAGGTCACAGGGAGGAGTAGGACTGTGTAAAAGATACTTTATGTTGAACAGATGTGCTGAACTCTGTGAATGATATAGTAGAAATCCTAGGCATTAAAGTTGAAAATAGGAATTTGGTAATTATCCTAGTATACAAACCACCATAAGTAACTGGTAAGGAATTCACAGATCAGTTAAGGAAGATAGATAGCTATTTGGATAGGCTAGAAAATCCCACACCAAAAACTTGAAGCAATATTTCCCATAAGAAATAATGTAAAACCAATTAATTCATTCCAGACACCCAAAAATATTAACAAAAAATACATTTTATAGAGAATAACTATAGTTATTCTCGAAAACTAGGGCATACGAAAACTGAGGCTCCACTGTATAAGAAGTACACAGTTGGAGTGTTAACCAAGGTTTGAGTTCATGGACACTTAGTTATAAGCTTACACTTGGTGCATATAGTATTCTTATGATTGCATAATCAGACTCCATATTTTGTTTTGTTCTTATTATAATACCATAGAATTTTAACAATATTTTAATTTGAATAAATGGTTCAAAATCTATTTCCATTTTTTTTGTAGGATGAAAGAAGTGCTATTTTAACAACCCATTCAATGGAGGAGGCTGATGCTCTTTGTGCAAGAATTGGCATCTTGGTACAAGGTAGCCTGAGGTTAGTCATGCGCATTTATTTTTAATAATAAGTATGCCAAGGTTAATGATACACCATACATTACTGTTTGAAGAATTAAAAACTACTTTCTGTAGTTTTTAATTCTTCAAACATACAGATAAGTATCTGTCTTATCTGAAGACCTAAATCATCAGTTTTAGGACCTTCATGCCACTTTTTGGCTTAATTGACCCCCTTCTGCCCTCCACTTTATATTGATTGCTCATTTTTTATGCAGTTATTGGTCTGACTTTATGATGAAAGCTGATTCAAAACAGCTGGCATGGGAAGGTGATGGCATTTTTGTTCAGCTAAACCTACACTGGTGTTACAAGGATATGTGCTTGACTCAATAATGTTCCTAATCCATTATGTAAATGACTTGCCTGATATAATTAAGAGCTATGTGAGCATGTTCACAGATGATGTAAAAATCCTATGCAACATAAGCAGTAAAAAATTCTGTATCCTTATAGAAGACCTGGACTGATTGACTAATTGAAGTAAGAGATGAATGATAGTACAGTAGACCGTCTTGTAACATGGTAGTTATGTTCCTGAAAATGCCATGTTAGACACAACTGTGTTAGACAAACTGAAGAATTTATGGGAAAAATAGGGATACGTTTCTGGGAGCCCCCAAAAAGCTAAACAACTTTTTTTTAGACCTCCAGATCTTACAAAAATAAAAGGAATATGTAATTCTAGTTCATTGTTGTGATTTATTATTATGTTTTTACTGCATAAGATTACAAATGCAACAGAAATAATAGTATTCTTTGCCTTAAATTGTGGGTGCTGGTGTTTGTGGATGATTGTGAAGAGAGTGGAGAGTTATGCTGTGCCCCTAATGGGCTGAGGTGGTTGGTAGAGGTTCTAGTATTGAAGTCGATGGATGTACTGGAGTGTGCACAAATTCTGTAAGGGGTTTCTGTTCTATTTTACCCTACAGTACATTATACAATTGACGGTAAGGCATCAGCTGCTCTAGACACTGTTTCAGGGTCCTCTTCAGTGAAAAAGTTTAACTTTAAGTCATTCAGTCAGTCAAGTCAGTCAGTCAAACAAGTCAGTCAGTCAAGTTAGTAAGTCAGTCAAGTCAGTCAGTCAGTCAGTCAAGTCAGTCAGTCAGTCAAGTCAGTCATTCAGTCAAGTCAGTCAGTAAGCCAGTCAGTCATCACACAAACTCATATTTACCTTATTCTTTTTATGTACAAAATGACGCTTCATTCTGGCTACAGGCTATCTCTTGTCTAATATCTCTATTTTCTTCGTTAATTCTAAGAATTAAACGCTTAAATATTTTCTTGCAACTTTCAGCATCACATGTATGTCTACTGGGTGCCATGATTGCTTGGCAGATTTAAGATATGGCAATTAATATGTATCTAAATAAACACATCGAGCTACTGGCACAGGTTCATCCAACACACGTATAAACCGAACTGAAGGCTAGGAGGGTGGTGGGGGTGGCTGATCCTGGCAGGGGATGGCAGTAGCCCATCCCGCCCTGTGGGTGACCATACGCTCAAAATTTTTCCCCCTCCCGCAACCATGTTCAACTAATTTTACGAAGTGTTAAACAAAAATATGCCCCAATTCTTCAATCATGCTATGACCAAAACGTGCAAGACAAAACAGTGTTAAACGACGGTCAACTGTATTTAATGTTGTGAAATGCCATGTAATGTAAATGACAGAAATTGAAAACAGGTCAGTTGAAAAAAATAAATTATGTAATAAAATATTAAAAATATCAAAAAAGTGAAGGACTCAAAATTCACAAATGAAAAAAGATTGCCACCAGAAAATGATAGTGAGAAACTCATATGTGACACTTTCTTGCTACTCTCTTTACCTAATCATTCCACCACTCGCTCTTCTTCCCTCCCGCACCCACTTTCCTGTAACCACAAACTTCTGCTGAACACCCTAACACTACATTTCTAAATGTATCCCATACCTCTTCAACCTCGTTACCTATACTCTCACTAGCCCATCTTTCTTCCAATAGTTGTTTATATCTTACCCTAACTGCCTCCTTCTTTAGTTTATAAACCTGCACCTCTCTCTTACTTGCTGATTCCATACTTCTCGTCCTCATATGGAACGCGTATGAAAGGGGTGGCAGGGTAGGAAGCTAGGCCTCCCTCACAAAGGCAATGACCTGATCCAAGGCAAACTGCCTGAGAGCCCACTAGACAGGGTTAAAATCCTGCGGTCCACCTCCCGGTGCTCCAAATTTTTTCCTCTCCCAGAAGCAGAACCATGTTAACTAAATTTTACGATGTGTTAGTCAAAAATACAGTGGACCCCCGGTTCGCGATATTAATCCGTTCCTGAGAGCTCATCGTAAACCAAAAATATCGGAAAGCGAATCAATTTTCCCCATAAGAAATAATGGAAATCAAATTAATCCGTGCAAGACACCCAAAAGTATGAAAAAAAACTTTTACCACATGAAATATTAAGTTTAATGCAATAGAATAGTAATTACAATAACAACAATAGCAATAAATAATAATAAATAACGAAAGAATAATTGACACTTACCTTTAATGAAGATCTGGTGATGATTGATGGGATGGGAGGAGGGGAGAGTGTGGATGGTGTTAGCATTTAGAAGGGGAATCCCCCTCCTTTATGACTTGAGGTAGCAAGTCCTTTTCCAGGGTTACTTCCCTTCTTCTTTTAATGCCACTAGGACCAGCTTGAGAGTCACTGGACTTCTGTCGCACAACATAACTGGCAGCCTCACCATGCCTAATCACACTATGTATACCACTACGATTCTTAAATCTTTCAAACCAGCCTTTGCTGGCCTTAAATTCACTCATATCACCACTAGTTTCAGGCAATTTTTTTTACCAAATCATCATGCAACTGCCTAGCCTTTTCACAAATGATTGCTTGAGAGAATCTATCTCCTGCTATCTGTTTTTCATTTATCCACACCAATAACAGTCTCTCAACATTTTCTAACACTTGCGGTTGCTGTTTCATAATCACAGTTGGTGACCCTACAGATTTAAACAACTATAGGCCAATATCAAACTTACCATTGCTATCCAAAATCCTTGAGAAACTCATGCACAGGAGAATATATTCATTTATAACGTCACAAAACATACTCAATCCCTGCCAATTTGGATTCAGGAAAAATAAAAGCACTAACGATGCAATTATAAAAATGCTAGATCTGCTTTACACAGCATTGGAAAATAAGGAATATCCGCTAGGAATTTTTATTGACCTAAGAAAAGCTTTTGACACAGTAGACCACGGCATCCTACTCCACAAACTTGACCATTATGGTATAAGAGGCCATGCACTTGCATATTTCAAATCTTACCTTACTAATAGGTATCAGTATGTCACCATTAAAGACACAGCATCAACAACACAGCCAATTGATACTGGAGTTCTGCAGGGAAGTGTCCTTGGTCCCCTGCTCTTCCTCATATACATCAATGATCTTCCAAACGTATCTCACACCTAACCCCCATTCTTTTGCTGACGCAGACTTATGTATCTCTCCCCTAAACTTGCAACCCTCAACACCATTTTTAATGAGGAGTGATCAAAAACGACTTGGATGACACCAAAACTTATGCTTAACGTTGACAAAACCTACTACATTATGTTTGTAGCAAGAGGAGTGCGAAAATTAACTTAAAGATCGACCACACTAATTACCAGGCAAATGGGGAAATTCCTGGCATACCTCGACACAACCCTGAACTTCAGCACCCAAACCACACAAAACCAAAAAAAGTATTAAAAACTTTTGGGATCCTCCCCAAAGATACATACTACGTGCCGCAAACTGCCCTCTCACACTATACCATTCATTATATATCCATACCTACCTATGCTATCTGTTTTGGGGTTTTCAACGCGCAACACCCTAAAGCCAATAAAAACCCCAACAAAAAGCCGCGAAAGAAAATCACTAAAATCCCTCCCTGGAAACACCCCCCCCCCCACTCTTATACATCTAACTTACCCCCTGTTCGTAATCCCCCTTACACGGGCATCTAATCACAGGACCTTAAATTCCCAAATTTTTCCCCTTGACCTAAAACGCTTTTTGATAGTTTGACAAACCCACGGGCACAACCCCAACAAAAATCTCTATGACATTCCCCGTGTCCGACAAAACCTTTAAAAAAAAATTAATATATGTAAAGGGGCCCAAAAATCTGGAAACCCCTACCAAAATTTCCAATACTGCAGACAATTCATCACCTTCAAAACTACCATCGAAACGTTTTATCTCCCTGATACACCCTGTAAACTAATAATCGAATACCACCTGGTGGTTCACACTTACACCACTCACCCATTTGACATAAAAGAAATATCAATCCAATCTCAAAAAAATAAATTTTAACTAGTCATAATTGGCCGGTTGAACCCAATACTGAAACTAAGAAATGTGCCAAAACAAAAGATTCACATTGCTAAACCCCAAAACTATATTTGTATTTAGCCTAATACCAATTTCTCATAATTTTGTAACATTTTAAACCTAAGATTTAATATAAGTCGCCCGAAATCCCACCCTCTAGCATTCAGTGGTACAATCTGTAATTATTATTTTATACAAAAAACCCAACAATAAAAAATTTTCTGTAATCAGCATTTAATACTTAAGAGAATAAAGTTTTGAATTTGAATTTGAATTTGATTGCCTTTTTTTCCTTGCTCACTATGTAAGATGGTTATTGGGTTTACTATACAACCTGCCCACTCCACACACGCACTCCATTTTTCGTACTTTGCAGTTTCTCTTTCTATTTCAACAGTCATTAGCACCCTTGGTCTAAAAAGGGGGGGCACGGGAGCTTTTTTGGGGCCCATGGTGACTTTTTTTTGCAAAAACGGCACAAAAACAGTGAAAAAATTGGATAATATGGAAGTACCGAATGTATCCTTAGATGCGCGCACACTGGCTGGCTTGTAAACCTGGCCACACGGGGGGTTGGCCACACTGGACACGTCTCGTATAACCACATCGCATACCGGTTTTGTATCAGGAAGCGGGCAAATTTTCTCGATATAATGCATCGGTTACCGGATTTATCAATACCGATAGCATTGGAACCGGGGTCCACTGTATCCAAAAGTTTTTGCAATAGTGTAAATTTAAAAACACATAAACCCGGGTATTCAAAGGTCACTATACGTATTTAAGAAAGTGGCTAGTAACCCTTCTGTATAAAAAATTTAAAAAGAAAAACTGTCGTTTTCTTTTTAGACACACGCCTCGGGGGGACGGCAGTTTTTAAAAGAAAAAATCTGTATGTTTCTAGTGATTACCTTGAGTAATGCTTACCCCCCGTTTTCTCTTGATATCTTCTGCAGTATATTTCATCCAAACTGTATTTTTTGCCATTCTTCTCATCCCTCTCCTGCTTTCATTACTGCACTTGTAGAATTAAATTCATTTAAATGCCTTTTTAACTGAGTGTTGGGGATGATAATTTATTACAGATGTGTGGGAGTATTCCCCTTTAAGAACAAGTATGGGGGGGGTACACATAGAGATAAAGATTAAACATGAAAAATGTTTGCAGTTTAAGGGGTTTAAAAACACCCCCAATGGCATTAAACATAAAATGCTATAGCTTTTAAGAAATTTAAAACAAAATTGGTTGTTGTGAGTGATTCTGGTTAAAAAAAAAAAAAAATAATTTGTGTGAAAATTTTTCTCATGTTGGAGGAATTTTGTAGAACATCAGCTTCTTATTATGGGGGGTTATCATCCTAGAAAGTCAACGAATAAGAATTGCAAAAAGATCATTATCCTGATTTTTTGGGAAAAGGAAATTAATTTTAGGGGCAGACTGAAAAAAAAAAAAAAGAAAATTGTTTATATCAAGACTTCATCACTTACCTGATTCTATTTCCATATAACTTGCTAGTGTTAGAGCAAAAATTTCTGTGTCTTAGAGCAAATCAAACAATGAAATTAAATTTTTGCACATGCTTTAACATGCATTTATTCACTATTCTTCCCAAAAACCCCTTTTGTTTTTGGGGGGAATTTCATATCTTCCCCAGGAAAAAATCAGAACCTTGTTTTTTGCCTCACCTCTACATGGACTTCATAGAATATTCTTAAAATTTTTCCTTGCTTTACAATTTTTTTAAAAACCATTTGCTTTACTGAAACTACCCTCACACAAAAAGGTCATGGATGCCGACTCCCTCTTCCTTATTTATTCAGGTTTTGCTTGACCTCGAATTCCCCACTTTTTTCTTTGCCCTCATTTACTTTAGAGACCATTGTTAACCTTCTCACTGTCCAGACCCTCAATTTCAAACATGTCCACAAGGTCCAAGAATTTAAAAAAAAAAAATTTTTATTTTTTCTTATGAAATGGTAGAGAATCATTTTCTAAAGGTAATAAAACAAAAAGTATGAAATTTGATGAAAAATTTATGAAATTATGCTTTTGCTAATTTTTCTGCTTCAGCTATATTTACACATTGGCAATTTTGCCCACCTTGAGTCTTATTTTAGGCCAGTTACATTGTTCTGGTCAAGAGATACTTGTCCAGTTTCCTCTTGAAGATGTCTACACTTGTCCCAGCAGTATTTCTGAAATCTTATAGTAGAGTGTTGAATAGTCTGGGACACCTGATGTTGATACAGTGTTCTCTTATTGTGTCCATGGTACCCCTAATGGTACGAAGGAATTGGACAAGTATGCAGTGTAGCAGACTTGGTCCACTGCATTAATGATTTTAACCCTTTCACTGTCAGTTCCATAATATTATGGCTTGAAAGCCAGTATCGGTCCCATAATACTATGCCAAAATTATAGTGGTTTCCAATCTTGCGGGAGATAGCTGGTAGGCCTACATATGAGACAATGGGTCTGAATGGTTATTGTGCACAGTATAAAAAAGTCCTGCAGCACACAGTGCATAATGAGAAAAAAAAAATCCGACCTTGTTTTTGGTTTAAAACAGCGACTTTGTGGTGTATTTTCATATGGTATTTATGGGTGTATTCTTGTTTTCTTGGTTTCATTTCAAAGTATGGAAAATATGTTACATAAATAGAGATGATTTTGAATGGTTTATGGACTAAAAGTACCTTGAAACTGAGCTCAAAGTAGCAGAAATGTTCGATTTCTACCTATGTTCAAGAGTAAACAAATCACGGTACTCATCCAATACATGTCTTCTGGTGGGTCTAATATGCTTTAACAAATGCACTGATATTATTTATACCATTATACCATTTTTACAATAATGCAGTAGTCTGCATAGCAGTAAATCTTCTATTTTTTGTGTGAATAAAAATTCAAAATGGAAAGCAAGCATAATATAAGAGGGTCCTGGAGACATGACTAATAAACAGAGAAAATGTTATTTTTGTGCTTGGAATGTTTGCATTGTTAATTTTGGACCCCATTTTGAAATTGGCCTTCCTTGAATTGTGTATGAAATTGGCCAAATTACCAATTTCTGATCACTTTATTGGGTAGTTGAAATGGGTAAATAGGCAGTTTCTTGTACTCAATCAACAGAACAATCTAGCGAAATAGCTATGAATTCGGTCAACTGGAACAGTAGAATTGGCCGAAAATAGGGCTCAAAGTGGGTGAAATCGCCAGTGCGTAAATATTGCCGACATCACTAATTTTGCAAGAGCGCAATTCTGTAAGTTTTCCATTAAATTTTGTACTTTTGGTTTCCTTACCATTGAGAAAACACTCTTTATCATTTCATAAGAATTTTTTTTTTTTTTTTAATTTTTGAAAATTCTTCAACACTGAGAGCAAGTCTGTGAGCAGGTGTCTCAACAGTGAATATTGTTAATGGGCACCCTCATGTAGTAGATCTGCTGATCTCTTGTCCGCCCATGGTTTTTTTTTTTTTTGTCCATTTTATCTGCTATCTATGACATGGAGGTTATATTGCATCCAAGATTTTTTAGCATATCACCATCCACATATATGAAAGCTATTTTGAAGTTTACAACCATGGCATAAAATTTTCTTCCAGAGCTACATTTATATGATCTTCCTGTGACTAATATGGGCCTTGCAAAAATTTTGGATTGTACTTTTCTCAACTTCACATCCATCTAATTGTGAGTTTGCAGATTAACATTATTTTTATAATTTTGATTATTCCATAATTTGAACTTTTCTTCAGGTCAGGCAGCATTATGGAACAGGTGCATAACATAATCAACGAGACCTTCCCAAATGCAGTCCTAGATGAGCAGTTTGAAGAGCATATCACCTATAAAGTGCCTCAGCATGATATTTCAGATTTGGCAAGATGTTTTATGGTGCTGGAAAAAGGTATGAGCTTTTAACCTGTGCACTGAAATTAACCTTTAAAACTGCCCGGCACACTGATACACAACTGATGACTATGCATTTAGCATACTAGTACGCAGAATTTTTTGTACCTTCAAACCTGTCACCTGCCAATATTTTTGACCTCATAATAGTTCTTTAGGTCTTCAACAATCTGTTCATATATTTGAAAACAATCTAATACCAGGAGGGTCTACACAGTGCATCATGGTTAACTAGAAAGGTGATGACTGTGTCTGATATACTAGTATGCCTAACTAGCAAAAATAAACAATGTATTCAGGAACTGTTGTTCCACCACCAGCTTTCTTGTCAGCAAAGAGGGTGTGGAATTGCACGAAGATGACTTATTCATTCCATATTTATTACAGTTTCATGATATTAACAGTGGAATTCATTCCATGTTTTAAACCTTTCAGGGTCCAGACCCCTGATCTGAAAATTGCTTTCAGGGTCCAAGAATTTAAAAAATAAAATATTTTTTCTTTGAAATGATAGAGTATCTTCTTCTGAAGATTATGAAGCCAAGAGTACAGTATTTAGACATGGGTGATTTTTACCCGTTTTGAGTCTTATTTTAGGCCAGTTCCATTGTTCCAGTTGATCAAACTCTTAACTATTTCACTAGTATGCCTTCCATTCTGTCGATTGAGTGCAAGAAACTGCCCATTTAACTATTGGTAATTTGGCCATTTTCACATAAAGTTGCCAATTTAAAAATAGGGTATAAAATAAACACTGTAGACATTCCTGGCACTAAAGCAACATTTCTTCTGTTCCAATATTAGTTATATGCCCCACACAAAAAAATAGAAGATTTACTGTTATGCAGACTACTACATTATGCATATTAGACCAACCAGTTGGATGCATGTTGGACGAGTGAAGTAATTTGTGTCTTCTGGAATATTGGCAAAAATTGAACATTTCCGCTTCTTTGAGGTCAATTTCAAGCTATTTCCAGTCCTGCATTCTATCAAATGATACCTAGAAACCAAGAATTATTTATGAACACATCGACCGTTTCCCACCAAGGCAGGGTGACCCGAAAAGAAGCAACACTCTTCATTATTCACTCCATCACTGTCTTGCCAGAGGTGTGCCTACACTACAGCCAAAAACCTGCAACATCAACACCCTTCCTTCAGAGCATAGGCAGTGCACTTCCCACCTCCAAAATCTTATTGCTATTTGCCATAGTGGCCATTACTGGCCATCTTTGTAATTAATATTTTATAACATGTAAACCACACATTGTAAGCTTTACAAGGAAATCTGGTTTCTTTTTTCCATTAATATGTTAACAGTGTTATAAATAAAAATTACAACTTGTAATCTAAGACCTAAGTTTATGATAAAAATATTGGTGCACAAATTAATTTTTGAATACTGTGCTGTATTTTACACAATTTAATTGTTTTGTGTTTTGGCAAATGTTTTTACTATGAAGCTTCACCATTCTCTACACCCTCATTTACTAATTTTATCCATTTGCTGAAGGGGCTGCTAGTGAAAGATTTGCCCTATCTTGGATCAGCATTATCTTTCACACAGTCTCCGATATTAATTTTCAGGAGAGGGAACACATGCTTAACTTGATGGAAAGTTACAGTGTAATAAGAGATTACTGTTCTGATAGTGGCTTATGGTTTTTACATACACCCAGTTTCCTATGCAGCAATAGAAATGTTGTGCCTAGTTTAAGGGTTAACAAATCCAATATCTGTTTCATTCAAGTAAGATTTGTAGACAATAAGGAAAATACTGCAGTGCAAAAATTTTAAAGTTTGGATTATCTTTTTTTATAGCTAAATCAGAAGGATTAATGGAGGAGTACGCTCTAAGCCAGACCACCTTAGAGCAAGTGTTTTTGAAGTTTGCCCGCCAGCAAGAATATGAAGATGATGATGATCAAGAAGCTGCACAGCAGTCTAGTTTATCAACAACCTCTTTATAGAGGTTGCCTGCTGAAATACATCAACTCTACTTAAATATTTTTGTAATCCATCAAGAGTTCTCTACAGTTATTATATATTCCACTCATACCTAAAATTGATAATTACTCAAATGTAGATGCAGTGCTGCCTTTTGTACTTACACATCTTTTTCTAAATACAGTTCTTTTATTTTAATGTACTATTGTAAATTATAGATACTGTCTTAATCATATTAAACAAAATTAATAATGAAATACAATACGGCCCCACTTATACAGCAGGTTAGGTTCTAGGCTACTGCCGGAAAACAGAATGCCATTTTTTCCACTTATAAATGCATACAATGCCAGATAAGTTTACACTAACATAATTTAAGCTGACAGTAGAACTAGGCATTAAAAACAATAAAAAGTAAAATACATACACAGTACATTCATTACCTACCTTAGGGTGAGAGGTGAATAGTATTTATTTGTAGGAAGTCAGGCATAGGTAGCCAGTAGGAGTAGGTAGCCTGCCTGGCTCCCACACCTAAACGTAATACAGTAGACCCCCTGAGTTTCATGATTAATCTGTTCCAGAAAGTCTGCTGAATGGCGAAATTTACGACTGGCGAAACCATTTTCTCTATAAGAAATAATGGAAATCCAATTAATCCGTTTCAGGCACCCAAAAGTATTAACAAAAAATATTTTTTTTAAAGATTAAATATAGATTTACATATAGGAAACAATGACAAATGAATATAAAGCACTAATAAAATGGATAAATGAACATTTAATATCACACTTACCTTTACTGATGACTCTTGTTGGTGTATGGCAGACAGGTAGGAGGGGAGAGGGAGCCGAGTTTATTATGCTTCAATATGACGCTAATATCATCTCTACAGCTTATTTATCTATCACAATTCATCTAATATGACATAATAAACAATATTAATAATGTAGAAACATAATATATACTCTAGAATGAGTAAAATATGTCATAACATATGTGAGGAGTAAGTGGTGGTGGTGGTGTTATTGGGTTTATAAGGGCCACTGAGAGAAGCCGTACATACTAGTGATGGTGGAGGTGGCAGCAGAAGCCACCAACATTATTCACACTGAAACAATGTACACTTACCTTGGAGGAGATGTTAGTTTAATTAGTTTGATGGAGGAGATGCTGGCAGAGGTTTAGAGTGGTGGAAGATAGCAGGGCAGCGTATGTTCAGTGGCCCTATACACCTCCAACAACATTGGAGAGTTACTCTCGTGTCGTTTGTCTATCGCTTAATCGTTTAACTTACTTGCTATACTGTTAATGCTACTCTTTATCGCTGGCAGGTGCTAAAGCCTTTGCCGATACCTGCTGCTTTAATATTGTACATATTATAGAATCACTGAAGAAGGCACATTCTCCCCTCTCTCTTCTTACTCCCACTTTGGTACTTTGCTACGAGTTTTTTCTTGAATTCTAATATGTTTCTTTCCTTCTTTACCAAAGGACTGGCACTAGGAGCTTTCTTTGGGCCAATGGTGGCTTATTTAGTAGTTGCAAGTACAAAAAATAATGGATTATTATGAAATATATCGCATGAACCCATGGGGTGATTGTCACTCGCTGATAAACAATGGCACACTGAGTGTGAATGGTGCGGGAGACTGGCTTTGTGTGCATTGACACTGGGATGCCGCTCCAATGTGTACCAGACAGTCGCCGAATCACAAGGCCAATCATGAACCGCGAGGCTATATTTTGCCGAAAAAAGTTGCTGAAAGTCGGATTTCACGAAAGTCGTGGCCGCCAAAAAGTGGGGGTCCACTGTATGTGATATTTAAAGCTGCCCAGAGCAATAAAATACATACACATACATTACTCTCATTATTTACCTTAAAATATGTATAGTCTTAATGTAGGGCAAGAGGTGAGTAGTATTTATTTGTAGGAAGTCAGGTGTAGGTAGTTGGTAGGTGTAGCTATATAGCCCACATGGCCCCTCCACCCATAGGTAATATATGATATTTAACCCTTAAACTGTCCTAACGTAGATTTACGTTCACTTGCGTAGCGCTCCAAACGTAGATCTACGTACGATTTTACATGCTTTCTTATGTAAAGAAAAATGTACATCTACGTTCAGAGCACTACACGAGTGAACGTAGATCTATGTTTGGACAGTTTAAGGGTTAAAGCAGCCCATTGTGATATTATTACCATCGACATACATTGTTCACTGAGTTTAATCATTTCTAACAAACTACCTTTAGATGGCATCATAAATGCAGGGAGAAGTGATGAGAAGAAATCATGCCAAGAATTGTAAACAAAGCCAAATGTGTTAAGGGGAGTCATTGGGTCAAAGGCAGATTGATACACATTTTCTCTGGTGCTGGACCAGAGAAAATGCAATTCTTTTCCTCCATCTGGTTATGCCTCATATTTATGTGAAATTCATTGTATGGTGGGTGTATGTATCATGTTTATATGCTATGTAACATGTTTCTTATATAATTTTGAAGAAAATATCATAGATGGATTAATGAACAATGTCTATATTAATGTAAAATAAGACATTTACTGTGCCCAGGAGTGATTATTATTATTATTACGTATTAGTATTGTTGTTATTAGTATGGCGTCAAGATTAGAGGGACACTCTTAGTGATTTTAATGTGTATCTGCATGCCAACACAGTGTGTATGTACAGTAGTGTAGGTACAAGTAAATTAAGTATAATTATCAGAATATATATGTGTAATATGTGTAATAACTTCAAAACACTTGAAATTTTGGAAAGTTTCTAGACATTTATTTTATTTATTTATTTATTTATTTATTTATGTCTTTGCAAATAGTACATTGAGATTATGTATTTACAGTAATGGGTTGCAATGCAAAGAGAGCCTCTATTATGCCTAGGCATTATGGGGCGATTTAACATTATTGGCTTACTGACTACTTAATACTAAGAATTATATCATAGTTGCACAGTAGAATATTAATTACATCATAGTTGTACATAATGGAGAGACAACCTCACAGAGAATGCAAGCAAACCAGGTGGCATGCAGTGACTATTAGTCAGGTGGGAAGGGGGGGGGGGGGAAACTGTATAGCAAGTTTTGGTCATAATTTAAAAGTCCGCATTAGCAAAACACTAAGGCAAAACACCGTAAAGCGAGGCCCTACTGTAAATGTTATTGTATATTTAATAATGTGTGTAGATAGGTGGCTATTAATGTATCTTTGTCTATAAGATCATGCATAACTTTTGTTGAAAAGATGTTTTAATTTGTATATAAAAAAATTTGTTTTCTTATTTACCAAAAAAAAATTTTGCACATTTACTCAAGCAGTTTATTTTATTATATACAGTGGAACCTCTGTATATGACCTTAATTCGTTCCAGAAGGCTGTTTGAGTGCCGCTCCGTTTGAGTATCGAACAGGTTCTTCCCAACCAATTTTCTGTTTGGTTGGCTGTTATCACTAATCGTCGTAGGCCCCATGGTGACTTAGTTATACAACAAACACCAAAAAATGCGAAGAAACATGAAATAGTTTACAGCGAGGTTCTGGCAGGTTGTATTTGTTTGGTCGAGTGCTGAGCTTTGTTCGAGTAGGGAGCTGGTCATATACTGAGGTTCCACTGTATATTCAATCTAATGTCTCTATGGGGAAATGGAACAGAATTTGTCCTCTGTAAGCCATGCCTGTCATAAGAGGCAACTAACATGCCAGGAGCAAGGGCCTAGTAACTCCTTCTCCTGTATACATTACTGAAGTTAAAAAGAGAAACCTTTGTTTTTCTTGTTGGGCCACTGCCTCGGTGGGATACGGCTGTTTTGTCGAAAGAAGAGATTTAGTCTAATGCAGTAGCCCATTTTATTACATGGATTTATTTGCCATGTTTTGATTATTACAGTACAGCCTCTCTTCACTTAGTGACGTACTCATTTAACAATGCCTTGGGCTGATGTCAGGCTCTCTGACCAGTATTCATACCTAAATAATGTATACTGTATTAGAGCTGATTCCCTCTATTTTGTTTATTTCAATATACAGTGCACTACTGTATAAACATTTAAAAATATACCAAAAATGTTATAAACAGTGCAAAGGTGACATTAAAACAATATCAAAGATGGTTGACACAAACTCACTACCATTATAGTATGCTCCTCACTTAGCGATGAATTCGCTTAATGACAGGGTCTCAGGAACAGAACTCCATCGTTAAGTGAGGAGAAGCTATATTGAATAATTGCAGCATAATTTTGCACAACACTTCATAAAATTACCTTAACACTGTTCAGTTTGCGGGTGGGGAAAAAATTTTCCCAGCTCAGGATGCCTCCTGGCTATGGGTCAAACCATTGTCTCAGCAGGGCAAACCTACCGCCATCCCCTGCCACCTCCAGAACCCTCATCCCAGCCTTCTATGCAAATACATCTAGTACCATTCTCTCCTAGGAGCTAGCTGTGTTTGTGAATTGTGTTTTGATCTTTTAACTGCCGTATCTTGTACAGTAAGGCCCCACTTGTATGGCAGGTTAGGTTCCAGGCTACCACCGGAAAGCAGACATCACCAGAAAGCAGAATGCCATTTGTTTCCACTATAAATGCATATAAATGCCAGATAACAAATTTACACTAAAATATATTGTTAGCAATAGAACTAAACATTAAAAACAAGAAAAAGTAAAATACACACACAGTACACCCATTACTTACCTTAAAATATCTGTAGTCTTAATGTAGGGTGAGAGCTAGTAGTATTTATTGTAAAAAGTCAGGCATGGGGGTATGGTAGCAAGTCAGGCCACCCCACCCACACGTAATATACTATGACATTTAAAGTGCCCCAGAGTGATAAAATGCATATACAGTACACTCATTACTTACCTTAAAATATTTGTAGTCTTATTGTAGGGAGAGAGGTGAGTACATGAGGTAAAATGAGTAAATGAGAGAGACAGAAAGAGTAAATGAGAGAGGAGAGAGATGAGGTGTTATGTAAACAAGGAGACAAACGCATCTGGTTTTGATTCATACACATTCATCTACACCTAACATCTCGTATTTATGTTAGTTTATTCTACTGTGGGGTGTTATTATGTTTATATGTTATATGTTTATATGTTGCATGAGCGTGTTAGATAGGAGTGAATGGAGACGAATGATACTTGGGACCTGACGATCTGTTGGAGGGTGAACAGGGTAATATTTAGTGAAGGGATTCAGGGAAACCGGTTATTTTCATACAGTCGGACTTGAGTCCTGGAAATGGGAAGTACAATGCCTGCACTTTAAAGGAGGGGTTTGGTATATTGGCAGTTTGGGGGATATGTTGTGTATCTTTATACGTATATGCTTCTAAACTGTTGTATTTTGAGCACCTCTGCAAAAGCAGTGATAATGTGTGAGTGTGGTGAAAGTGTTGAATGATGATGAAAGTATTTTCTTTTTGGGGATTTTCTTTCTTTTTTGGGTCACCCTGCCTTGGAGGGAGACGACCGACTTGTTGAAAAAAAAAAAAAAAAAAATGTTATGTAGTGTTTTTGTTATATAATCTTGAAAAATATCATAGATGGATTAATGAAAATGTGTATATTAATGTAATATATGACATTTAATGCTCCTCAGATAATAATACTTAATAATAATTGCTTACTATTATATATTATTATTGTTATCATTATTAATATGGTGTCCTCAAGACTAATAAGACATTATTAATGATTTTAATGTGTACCTGCATGCCAGCACAGTGTGCAAGTTTTTTTAGGTACAGGTACACATAAGTATAATTATCAGAGTATACAGCCTCTCCTCACTTAACGATGGAGTTTTGTTCCTAAGAGCACGTTGTTAAACGAATTCATCGCTAAGTGAAGAGTATACTATAAAGGTAGTGAGTTTGTGTCAACCATCCTTGATATTGTTTTAATGACACCTTTGCACCATTTATAACATTTCTGGTATATTTTTCAGTGTTTATACAGTAGTGTACTGTATTTTGAAATAAACAGAATAGAGGAAATCAGCTCTAATATACATTATTTAGGTATGAATACTGGTCTGAGAGCCCATCGTAAGTCTGAGGCATCAGTAAACAAGTACATCGCTGAGGAGAAGCTGTATATAGAACATGAAATAACTTTAAAATGCTTGAAATTTTGGAAAGTTTCCACCTTTCAAGGCAGGTGAAATTGCTGACCTAGAAAATGTACAGAGAACCTTCACAGCGCGCATAACGGAGGTAAAACACCTCAATTACTGGGAGCACTTGAGGTTCCTAAACCTGTATTCCCTGGAACGCAGGCGGGAGAGATACATGATTAAATACACCTGGAAAATCCCAGAGGGACTAGTACCAAACTTACACACACAAATCACTCACTACGAAAGCAAGAGACTTGGCAGACGATGCAACATCCCCCCAATGAAAAGCAGGGGTGTCACTAGCACGTTAAGAGACCATACAATAAGTGTCAGGGGCCCGAGACTGTTCAACTGCCTCCCAGCATACATAAGGGGGATTACCAACAGACCCCTGGCAGTCTTCAAGCTGGCACTGGACAAGCACCTAAAGTCGGTTCCTGACCAGCCGGGCTGTGGCTCGTACGTTGGTTTGCGTGCAGCCAGCAGCAACAGCCTGGTTGATCAGGCTCTGATCCACCATGAGGCCTGGTCACAGACCGGGCTGCGGGGGCGTTGACCCCCGGAACTCTCTCCAGGTAAACTCCAGACATAATGGAGAGACATGGTGCTCATGGAGCTCACGGAGAATGTAAACAAACTGGGTGGGGTGCGATTACTGTACTAGAAAGTCCATCGTTAAGTGAGGAGAGGCTGTATACTCTGAGCCGTATAGCGAGTTTTGGTCATAATTTGAAATGTCTGTATTAGTGGAATGCTGTAAGGTGAAACGCCATAAAGCGGGACCATCCTGTATCTGCCAAGCTATCATGGCACCCAGTAGGCATGCAAGTGTTGCTGAAAGTAGCAAGAAAAATTTAAGTCTTGGAGTTATAAAGAAAATAGAAATAGACAAGAGAGAGCCTATGGCCTTCATGAAGCATCAGTTTGTATAATTAAAA